ACGATTTGTTGTTTCATGTCAGAGATTTCTGCCAATGCATTATCAAATTGCTGCTGAATCCAATTTCGGGTTTCTTCTCGTTGTTGTCTGACCTCGCGTGCGATTCCATGATAGCATTCCTCATTTCGTCTCTTGCCTGGTCATGGAGCGGTCTAGCTCTTCCGATCTCTTGTTCTGCATCGCGAATTTCATCTAGCTCAGCCTTCAAGACAACGTCGTAGCTTCTTTTGATCTTTTCAACTATTGGCATCATGGTTTCTTTCTTGTAGGGGCGGCGTGGCTGCGTATCATTTTGTGCTGTGGGTCTCGCCATCGCGCTTTCTTCTAGCTGATTCAAGTAAAGGATGCGGACCCCTTCTTGTGCTTCATTGGCCATCACGAGTATTGCGTACTATTCGTGTGCAACATAGGTCCCTCCACATGCCAACTTCGTGTTTCTCCTACTGATGTTGGGAGTGAAGATCCTTCAGTTACAGGATATATTCCATGAATTTTACCAAGTTATACGATATTTACCATTTGTCCGCTCTCATCTCAATGAAATCCAGTCTTGCTTGTTTGAGGTAGTCTTCGTATTCATAGCACCTCTCTGCGAGTGAGCGGTTGACATGCTTACAGTGACAAGGGTCAAAAATGTACATACAGCAGTAACAACACTAACAGTAACCACATACAACATTTATTGAGTAAAGTTGCTATGAAAGGAATTTTATGCAGTTATGGCTAAATGTGCTCATGCAGGTGCAATGGTTTCATAGGATCTTTTTCTCCGATTTCTTCCTTTGGGAGTGACAATGCATGCGGAGACATCGGAAGAGTAATGTCACGAAGAACATAAGAAGTTGAAATGTTCATATAAATATTGCATAGATTAATCGACAGACGGTTCTGATGACTGACAGAACGCAAGCATTGGAGGCATAGAAATACGTTATTACGAAGGCAACAATTACTACCAGTGCTGTGGCTGCTAATACACTGTACCATATCAAGAATGTCTGTGCCAAATGCGAAAAATCTGGTAGGTTTATCTCCAAGAATAATTCGCTTTCGCCGTGCAGGACTCATCTCGCCGCCATATTCAAGCTGCCTGTGTAGTGTAGGATA